TTCGAGAGAGGCAATTCGCAATTCAGAACCCCACTTTGTTTTTAACCATTTTCACCACTTATTTCCCTACTTGCAAAAAACTCCCAAAACAACACCTCCAATCATCGCATCATCCCGTATCCTTGTGAGATCCTACACCGTCTTCAATCTTCCAGCAATCTAAACGGGCTTTATTAGAGGCACAAACTAGTAAACCTGCAAGTGGCAGAACAATCATATTTGCAAGGCAACCGGAGAAGCTCCTTAAGCGTAATTGTTCTGTGACGAAGCTGGTCGAGGTCAACGCAGCGAATCCGCGAACAGGTTGAAGATGACCTTTCAAGTCCACCGCGCTGGAAGGTGCGGACCAAGAATTTCGCAGTCTATGATTGCTATATGGAGCGATGCGAAGATATCATCTGCCACCATGCATCCGTTTGTTCTTGCCTCGAAACCTCATTATCCGCCATCCGAATCGGACAATAAGCAGTTGTAGTTTCAGAAGTATTGTCTAAATTCATCTAATTATTTTTTTGCGTTCCAAACTACCACCAACTTATTTTTTTCAAATGGAAGCAGTTCTGAATTTAGTTGAGAATACGTTTATTTAAGAGATTTGCCTAAATCTGAATGTTCTTGTTTTAATTGAAAATAAACAACTTCAAGTTTTTTTGTTTAAAGAAACTCCATTGCATAAGCGGAAATCTGTTATTCACCGAATAGTTGGAAAGCACAAATGTTATCCTTACAAAGTTATTCCTGAGCAAGAGTTATTTGAAGATTATTTCCATATATACATTCCAAAAAACATGATTTTTTCGATGAAGCTACGTTTTGTTTGAATAGTTATGTGAACCGACAAAATTGTCGAGTTTGGGCAACAGAAAATCCGCATTGGATGATGGAGGTTCACAGCCAGGATGGTAGTGTGGTGTGAATTTAAAAGATATCGTCTATTAATTATTGATGGGTTCAATCGTAAATTTTCTCTAAGTAGAAAACATAAATACAGTTTGGCAAAAAATCGCATTTACAAATCAATGTTGACCAGTACCAACCTTTTTTTTTTTTAAATAACACACTGCTGAATTTTACATAAATTTAGACATTCCTTCTGGGACTCACTGTATATGCAGAACTCTTCGGCTAAAATGAGTCTTTCACATTAAATATTTACATAAAATTAACATACTGCCGGTATGTATGGTACCGGTATGTGGATTTAGTGAATTTTTGCTATTTCGAATCGCGGCGAATCCGGTTTTATCGGCCCCATGGACCCCGAGATGTCAACATTTAAATTATTATATCTGATATCACTTAAATTCTGGTACATGCTGTTCACATTGTGAAGGTCAATGTCATCAACCGGCATCGAAGCTGACCAGAACTTTGGGTTTTTGTATCGGCCCACACAATTAATAGCGCGCGATTATTTGCTTTTTTGTTTTTGGGAAAATCGTCGGTTTAGTAATCAACCAACGCTGAAAGTGAGAGTTCAGTCGCGTGAGTTGGTAAATTGTTTTTTAACATCAAGAGTTTGTCTTCTGCGGCTATTGTTTGAAACTGGTGAGTTTTTCGGGCGCGTCCACACCGGCCTCCACCTCAAACCGCACCAGTTTCCATATGAACTTTTAGCGGGACATTTGAATAAACGATAAATGTTTGCAACAAAAACCGGGCATACAGAGTAAAGTGGGTACATTTTTTATTCCGTCAAAGTCGTTCGCATTCTAATCGCGCACAATTCTATCTGCATTGAGAAGTTACGAAATCTTTAGGCTCGTAAAGTAAGCCCAAGAAAAAATTCTTAAACCATTTGATGTCATGGACAGCCATTATTTTAAACCACTTCAGCTCGGGTATTATTAGAATTGCATAACCCATTTATGAATGTAACTGGAACCTGATGTTGAACCAACTGGAGTGAAACAACCAAATTGGAAACCTTATTTCGGCAAAAACAATCAATTGCTGCGTCATTTACTCAAACAAATATATTTTTTCCTATCGACCGATTCCAATCTTCCACTTGTCTTGTTTGAAGATTAGCTTAAAGGTGAAAGACAGTTATTTACAAGTTAACAGTATACTCATGTTGCGACAAGCGCTCTTCGTGACTGCATTTTGGTAATTTGTTATTAAGGTAAACTGTGCAGATATGCCCATAAGGAAATGCCCACTTTGCAATGCTGATATTTATGAAATGGCGCACTGTTGGCCGATGCAATGTCGACTACTTGCCAATGAAACTTTATGTTTATGTTGCACATCCACCTGTTTCATTTCAGGTTTTCGTTCGAGTTTTGTTTATGGCAGGTTTGTTTGTTTATGTTGAACTCGACGAAACCAAGCCAAGGGCGGATCCAGGGGGCGAGTCATGGGGGTCGTGACCCCCCCATTCAATTCTCTATCCAACGATGCCAAAACGAATTCTGTGGCTCAAGTGGTTCTTGAGAAACTTCGAAAAAAGCAGCGTCATGTTCAAGTGGATTTTGCAATTCAAAAAAAACCGCGCAAATTTTAAAACTTCTTGAATTCAGGCCTTTTCTGAGAAAACTGCCAACATTTCCCCATCCATAGTTCACTTTCTAAAAAGGCAATTTATTTCCGTTTAGAATGATGTATAAATGAGCGTTCTTGGTCATTTTGCTTTCGAGAAATGAGCAAAAATGGGACGGAAATCATGAAATTTTGGCATAATCTTGCACCTAAGTGTGTGTTATTCAAATTTCGCTTTCTGAGTCAAAACTACTCGCATTTCCTCACTCACGTTGTTA